TCATGTTATCCCCTAAGCAATACAGTAAAATAATTATTTCAATAGCACTTTCACTCTACATTGGATGCTTAAAGTCATCTAGAGATGATTTAAATTATTTGAGGGTTGTACACATTATATGCAAATATTTCACCATTTTGTACAGCACAGGAATGTCTACTGATTTAGATGTGGGAGTATGGTCCTGGAGTGAGTCCCCCATGGATACTAAAGGACAACTGTACTAAGTTAGCAATTAAATAAATCATTATAATGCCATTTCCACAAATTAAAATTTTATTAATTCAATTTAATAGTTTTCTTTGGGGGATAATAAAGTTTCCAATTCTCATCCACTTTTATAGATTCCTAAACACCTGTATCTAAGGATGGACTCTGAAATCTCAAATCCTTGAGAGTAAAAGCATCACATGTAGAGGCGTGGGGATTCCATTCATCTGATGCTGCATCTCTATGAACTAAGTCCTCCCAGTTCTCTGGTCCTCTATAATTTCCTCACAGTTAAGCAACTGGAACTCATGACAGTGCCCAGACTGCTGTTCTGTGATACTCCTGATAGTTGAGCCCTCTCTCAGTAGACCTTGAGTCCTTGAGAGGATGGTCTCTGCTGACAAGAGTTCCATCCTTCATCATGAATGCTTTGGAACTGACACCTTGTCCACCACTCAAGCTATCTGTTGCGTATCTATGACCAAAACAATGGAAGGAGGGAAGTCTTCATCTTGGCTCTTGGTTTCCAAGGTTTCAGTCCATTGCGTTGGGGGGATCTGGGCACGGCAGAGTGCATGGTGGTGGGAGTGTGCAGTTCCCACATCCCCGCAGACCAGGAATTAGAGAGCAGCTGGAAACAGACTTAGATAGGGCCTTCAAAGGCTTCTCCTCAGTGTCCTGCTTCTAACAGCGAGCCCCCAATACCTCCAAAAGGTACTGTGGCCTCCTAAAATAGCACAGCCAACAAAGACATGAACCTGAGGGGGCATTTCAGATGCAAAACAGTATATCTTTAGCTTCCTTAGGACTTAGGCTTCCTCACATGTCTGACCACAACAGAAGCTAAGGGGAGGTACAGGCACCTCCTTCCTGGCTCAGTTTGGAGAATGTGGTGGGGGGCATCTCCTGGGGTGGCTTCCCTGGCTTAGTTTGCTCTTAGAATAGTACAGAGATACAAACCATGGCAGATACATTAACTATAATACCCTGAGGTAAAATATGCAGAGGCAAGAGCCTTTTCTTGACCTTTTCCTTGTCTTTGGCTATGCTGACAGGTCTCTTCTTGCTTCCTGTTCTGGTGAGGTGCCATATTGGATCTGCTACATGATTCTTGCCTCAGGCAGTTCATTAGGGTTGTGACTCTGACCCTGGAGTCTTGCCTCCATCTTCCAGAGTTTCATATACCACCCATGGCTTTCTATCTCTGTTCCCTTTAGGTATCATCTATTCTTAGCCCAGCAGAAATATCCCTCACCCAAATTCCCACCAAGATCAGATCCCTAACCCAAAACAATGGTGCACAATGACCAAATCACATTCATTTTCAAGGCAATGTGCTGAGAGACACCTCACACCAGCTCTGGCTTCCACATGCACACACACGCGTGCGCGCGCGCGCGCATGCGCACACACACACACACACACACACACACACACACACACACTAAACAAAGGCAATCTTCCTTGCTGGGTGTGATGATCCATATCTATAAGCCCAGCACTTGGGAGACTGAGGCAAAAGGGTTGCTTTGAGTTTGAGGCCAGTCCCTAGTGTGTTCCAGGCCAACTCTGTAGAGAAAGACCCTGTCTCCAACAAACAAGCAAACCTCCAAAATAGTAACAGCAAGAATAACAATAAAATAAAGGCACCCTTTCATGACTGTCAAGATACTCAAGACATCCGTTTTGTATTTTAGTTCCTCTTAGCTTCTTCCTGACTTCCTGGTCACTTCTGGCACATCTCTTGTCCGACTGTCCCATTCCCCTGGAGGCCATCCCAAAGGCCCCATTCCTAGCTGTGAACTCGACCCCCACCCTCCCCTCACTCTCTTTCTTCAGGTGATCTCTTTCTTTTTATCCCAGCTTCCCAGCACTGCTAGCTACTTCCCTGTCTGTGAAGGATGCAGTCTCAGTGCTCTGATGCCCTGGGCTTTAGAAGACGAAGCGCTGTCTCCAAATCACCCTCGGCCACCGGTCCACTTGCCCTAGTCACATCCCGGTGTGCTTGCTCCTGACCTTGTCCAGTTGCTGTTTTCTTCTTTAAAGACCGTACAACCTTGGGGCTAGAGAGGTGGCTCACCGGGTGACGGTACCTGCTGCACAAGTGTGGGGACGTGAGTCCCATTCCCGAGCTCTCATGTTAAAAGCCAGATGTGGCTGCCCACGTCCGTAACCCTGGCGCTAGGGGAGCAGGAGGAAGCAGAGGCAGGAGGATCATTGACGCTTGTTGGCCAACCAAGTCTAGCCCCAAACTGTAAGCTCTGCATTCAGTAAGAGACACTGTCTCATGGGAATAAGGCATAGGGCAATAGAGAAAGAGATCGGACTTCCTCCTCTGACCTCTGCATGTATGTGCATGGGCCTGTACACATGCGCGTGCATACACACACACACACACACACACACACACACACACACAACTTTTTAAAAACTTAAGAAGAGCTTTCCATATTTTATTTTTATTGGAAGGGGGAGGTTTTATTTGCCTTACACTTCCATATCACTGTTCATCCTCAAAGGAAGTCAGGGCAGCTGATGCAGAGGCCATGGATGGGTGCTGCTTAGTGGCTTGTTCCCCCAAGCTTGCTTAGCCTGCCTTCTTTTTTCCATTTATTATTCTCTCATACAATGCAACCCAACTACAGCTTGCCCTCCTTCCCCTCCTCCCAGTCCTCCGCTCCTCCCCCAGATCTACTCTCCCCCAGCCCCCTCCCCCAGAAAAGAACAGGCCTCCCAGGGGCATCAGTTAAACACGGCACAATAAGATACAGTAAGACCAGGCACAAACCCTCATATCAAGAATGGGCGAGGCAACCCAGGAGGAGGAAAAGGGTCCCAAGAGCAGACAAAAGAGTCAGAGACACCCTCACTCCCGCTGCCAGTAGTCCCACACAAACACCAAGCTAACAACCATACCGCACATGCAGAGCGCCTAGGGCAGGCCCATGCAGGCTCTGAGACTGCGACTGAGACTGCGACTTCAGACTCTGTGGGCCCCCTGCTTGCTTACTTTTAATTTTCTTCTGGTGCTAGAGATAAATCCAAGGCCTCACCCCACACACTAGACAAAGTACTCTACCTCTAAGATACACCTTAACCAAGCCATCTTTTAGCCTACAATGTAATTTATTATACTGTCATAATACACATTCTAAAAATATCCCTTTTTCAGGATGTCAGCATTACAAGAACGGGATTGTATCTGGCTTTTGTTTTTGTTTTTTTTTTTTTTTATGTTACTTACATAACACAAATGTCTACAAACAGTTTATGATATACAATAGCCACCTGACAAACATGTGTTAAACAAGTGAAAGAATAATATCTCTTTCTGTGACTGAGGTAAAGATCTACACTACAAGAAATCCTTCCTAACCACTACTATAGATTCTTGATGTCAAGTGTTAATGTCTATAAACGGAACCGAAGGATCCCACTTGGAATCTTAAACAGACTAGTAGGTCCTTTGCTTCCTGGGCAGACTTTAAAATGTAGCCATCTCATTAGCTGTGTGAACACTCCTGATGAGAGAAAAATCATCATCCAGGCAGGGTGTAGTGATGTGTGAACCTGAAATGGGGTTACCTCCATCTCAGAAACCTAATGTATTGAACAAGTGCACCCTACAGGTTTCCCACTTCACTGGAACACATCTTTGTTTGTTTAACTGAGAACTGGCTGATGGCAGGAGGAACCACCACAGATGCAATGGTACATTTACCTTTCTCAAAATGCTCTGCCTCCTTGTACTTCAAACAACTTATAAAAAATGCCTATAAAAGAGTAGTCAGACCCGAACAGCTGTGAAGGCAGGAAGAGTCTGTCTGCTTCGCTCTACTTCAGAAAACAGAGCTTCAACACCCAGGTAGAGAGCATAGGAAGATGCTTCAGAATAGGAAGAACATGTTCAACAACAATGTGGATTTCAAAATGAATTGAATGCTTGGAATATAGAGGTCTCCAGTCTCAGGAAGAATATGCTTGGGGCTGACTGCCACTTTTCAGGGATGACATGAGCATCCCTGCTATGAGAAAGGGGTCAGATGGGTGACCATAGAGGTCCTCAACAGACTGGGATTCTGTTAGACCAAGATGGGTTATAGTGAGTCAGACCCATAACTTCCTGTGTTTGGATGTCAGAAAGAATAGCACCATAGTTCATAGATAAATGTTGTGGGTTAGATATGAGATGTCACAAAAAGCCATGTGTCGCCAGCCCTGGTACTGTTGGAGAGACACATTTTGGGAGGTAGGGTTTAGCGGAAGGACGTTAGGTCACTTCCCCTTCCTGCATCTGTCCATTTCCCACCTGTCCCCTGTCCCCTCCCCTACATCCCCCCTCCACCTCCCAAACACCATCCACCATGCCTCACTGTGGCCCAAGGAATATGGCCAAGCAGCAATAGACTGAGACTTCTGGAATCACGAACCAATAAACCTTTCTTCTTTTAAAGTTTATTGTTCCCAGGTATTCTGTCACAGCCACAGAAAGATGACTAACACCCACAGCAAGCTTGACGGCTGATGAGTAAACTGAGGTATGAGAAAACTAACCAGATGACCTGAATTTTCAGAGTGAACATTCATAAAAAGAACCCATATTTCTGAATTCCATTTTTCTTTCACATCAGCTATAATTAGCTTTCAAAGTGAAAAGTATCAATCAAATTGTGAAGGGCAAGGCAGAAATGTTCCCATAGTCTTTCTACTCAGATAAAAAGGCACCAGCTTCCTAGCAGTCAAAATCCACTTCACACAATCCAAATTAATTTAAGAAAACCTCATGGGCATGGGTAGCCATTTTTAATTGCCTCTTGGAGTAGTCAAAAATATCTCAAACGGGAGAAGACGGGGGACGGACACCATGAGTAACAGAGATTCTCCAGCAGCAGCATTAGGTGTCTGAGACCACTGACCTAGGAGGAAGTTGATTGAATAATAGAAAGTCAGCACCAGTACCACAGATACATGCCTCTCAGGAGGCTCTCTAGATAACACCTCCAGTCCCTTACCCTGCCACCCCCAGCTCTTGAAAGGACCCTGGCAAACTGTCTTGAGCCTGTCTAAGTTACACTTGGGTCATCTTAAGGTGCCTGCTCACCATTTGCCTCGCTGTTCCTGAGTGTGCCGAAAGGCTCTGGAAGGCCCAGGGGGAACGGTGGCATGGTAACCTCTGAGGGCACCTGAACCCCTGTGCACATGTTCATGCACATAATCATAATCCAAATCGAAAATAAATCCTTAAAAGAAAGACAGTGGCTGTCTGGAAGATCTCTCCTGATGAGGTGCTTGGATTCTAAACTGGAAAACCATGCAGACCCATCAGTACAAGTATTAATAAGTTCTTTTTAGCTCTTTTTTGTTTTTGTTTCTTAAGACAGGATTCACTATGTAGTCCAGGCTGGCTGGCCTCAAACTCATGGTCTTCCCACCTCAGTCTCCCTAGTGCTAGAATTACAGGTGTGCCCTACCACACGTGGCTTGAAGTACTTTCCCTTTATTTGCTGTGTGCTGTCTGAGCAAAGGGCTTTGGGGGCTCATATTAACTCTCCCTCCATCTCTGCCCATCTCATGCTGAGTCCATACATAGCCAGACAGGATTAAACAGTGACCTGGGGTCACATGTGCCCATTTCCCCTTGAGTGGGTGAGGTGGAGATTTTGGGGGAAGGGCAGTTATCATTGACTGTAGTTCTCAGAACAGCTATAATCTGCATGCCCTCAAAATTAGGGAGAAGTTGGCTGTGGTGATTACAAAGTTGGCATGCACCACCGCTGGACACAGGCCCTCATAGGGGATTCTTTAAAAAAAAAAACAAACTCATTTATTTGTTTACTGTGTGTGTGTGTGTGTGTGTGTGTGTGTGTGTGTGTGTGTGTGTGTGTATGATGCATGCTCATAGCACTGTGTACACTTGGATTTTAGAAGATAACTTGAATCAGTTCTCTTTCTCAATGTGGGTCCCAGGATTGAATTTAGGGTATCAGGCTTGGTGGCGAGCACTTTTACCCACTGGGCCGTCCTGGGGGTATCACCAGCCCACGTGGGGATTGTCACTGCTGGGAAGGACTAATCAGCAGGCTTGTTTCTGCCCGCCCCCCCATTCTCTCCTCTCACAGTCCTCCTTGGTGATTTCTTTCTGTTATAGTTTACACTGTTGCCATTCTATGTCTGTCCACTCTCTGAAGGGCTTAGCCCAGAGCCTTGGTTGTTCAGATATCCTGGTGTTGGGAGGATAATGTACTGGTTTCTAAATCACCAACCACTGGCTCTAACCAGAGGTGTGCTTGAAAGAAAAATACCAAGACCTGAGTCAGCAAGCCATGGCTTGGGGACCAATGAGGGCTGCCACTCACTTTTACAAATACACTTTTACCGGAACACAGCCATGCACGTTTGTCTGTGTGCTGTCAATGGCTACGGAGGGTTACAACAGGCTGTGTGGCCCACTGAGCCTACCTGGCCCTTCACAGGAAGAGTCTGCTGACCTCTGTCTGTACCACATGAATAACATATGGTGGGAATAGCTCTTGATAGGAAGGGAAAGGCAGCCAAGACCCAGCTCCAGCTCCAGTTACCGCTATGGCTCTGGATGCATTGGATTTCTCTTCCCCCTCCTCCAGATGCTCCTCCTCCAGATGCTCCTCCTCCTGCTCCTCCACCAGATAGTCCTCCTCCTGCTCCTCCTCTTCCAGCTGCTCCTCCTCCTCTCCCTCCAGCTGCTCCTTCTTCTCCAGCTCCTCTTCCTCCTACTGCTCCTCCTCCTCTAGCTCCTCCTCCTCCTTTCTCATTTTCCTCCTCTTCCTCCTTCTTCATCTCCCCGATTCCTCATCTGTAAAACAAGAAAGGTAGCCTATATGTTTCTGGGATTTTTTCCTCAAGACAAAAATTCAATAAGCTATGAGTAAGACCTGTCCTGCTGCCTCCCCCTCTCCAGACAGTTAATAATAAAGCCTTCCAATTTGTAACCTCGTTAGGAACATCCCTCCCCACTATTACAAAGTCCCTTCTTCTATCAGAGGCAATGCCTCTCAAGCAGGTCCCCGCCCGGTTTCCATCGCCTTTCTTTAGGTTCTTCCCCTGAGTGATCTGTCACTCAAACCCCTGTGCAGAGCAGGCTGTGCACAGACCCACGTCACTCCCCAGCCAGGAATATAGTGCAAAGCTTGGCTTCTCCATAAGCTCTCCACAAATCCTTGGACAAAAACCAGAGTCCTGCAAGCAAATCCTTGACGCTGCCTTTTCTCCTGCATCCCTCCACAGAATATCTCTGGTGAGTCATTTTCCCCAGGTCCTGGGGCATCCAGGAATGTGGCGTCAAGTGCAACAGCTGGCCGTAACTTCCCTTCCTGTCTATTTTTGGAGAATCTTTGATACTGAGTTCAAACACTTACCAGGTGTCTGGCTGTGAGGCCAGCTGTGGGTTACTTGGCCTCTTTGGGCTACACACTGCTGTATGAGCAGACAGAGATGATGGTGTCCATCTCAAAGGCTTGCTCCAAGACTGGATGACTGACATGAAATGTCTGTGATATAGTTAACCCTGGTGGCCGCATCCACACTGCAGAGGCTTTTCTAACTGTCTGTCTCCTTCTTACTGGGCTAATGGACTCTTCTTCCTTGCTCTATGAGGTCCTTGTGTGGACTGAGAAAGCCAGAAAAGCCTCCAGAAGTTGTCACCAGGCTATCTGGGGAACCAAAACCCCACTCCAGTTTGTAACCCTTGTCACCTCTCTGAAAACACAAGAAAGTACAAGGGCGGTCACCTCATGGGACATTGTGTCAGTTTGTGTCACATCACTGTGACAAAATGCCCACAAGAAGTAAGTTATAAGGGGGTGTGGTGGTCTCTGTGAAAATGGCCCCCATAGACTCATAGGGAGGGCATTATTGGAGGTGTAGCCTTGTTGGAGGAAGTGCGTCATTGGAGGGTGGGCTTTGAGCTTTCAGAAGCTCAAGCTAGACCTAGTGGCTCACTCTCTCTTCTTGCTGCCTGTGGATCCAGATGTGGAAATCTCAGCTACCTCTCCAGCACCATGTCTGTCTGCGTGCCTCTGTGCTTCCCGCCATGACAACAACGGGCTAAACGGAAGCCAGCCTCAATTACATGTTTTCCTTCAGAAGAGTTGCCATGGTCATGGTGTCTCTTCACAGCAATAGAAACCCTAAGGCAGAGGTGAGGTTTATTTTGATTTTGGCTTCAGACCCATGGTGGCTTGGCTCTGTGACTTTGGGGCTGTGAGGGAGTATGTGACAGAGAGGACCTGCTCACCTCATCACTCCAGGAAGCTAAGAGACAGAAAGGAGTGAAGTCCTGGTATCCACCAAAGTTCCTTCCAAATCCTAAAGGTCCCACCACATCCCAACAGTGACAAAGGCTGGTGAACAAAGCCTTTGCACGTGTCCTTTGGGAGACATTCTAAAGTTCCAGGCATCTAACCTTCTGTCAGTTCAATGCAATGTGGTCATCTACCATTTTTGTGTTTGGGAATTGTACGATTGGCTTGCCAAACAACACACACACACACACACACACACACACACACACACACATACACAAAAAAAGAAGAAGAAGAAAAAACTCTTATTCAAAAACACCACAAAGATACTTAATACCTTATATGCTAATAAAAAGGTTTTTTTAAGTCTCAAAAATCATCTCATAAAATTTAATTATGTTTTTGAGTTTGGGCTTCATTCATGGCTATCCAGAGAGGCATGCAGACCACAGACCCAGACAGCCTTCTTTGTCTTTGGGGTACAGCGGCTCTCAGACCCTTGTTTCCTCATTCTTCGCTGTGTTTTCTTTTGACCTAGGTGGGTCTAGGCACTCCTTGAGGGGATGTGTGCCCTGTATTTGCTGAGCCTGTCATAAGCAGCGCTTCCAGTCAGGGGCCAGTTCCTGAGCACACCAGTAATCCCCACTGATTTGCGGATGAGTTAGCGGATCAATGAGTTAATTGGGTATTGGGAAATGGAGACCCTGGAACATTCAGTCTCACCCCTCCTACAGAACAATAAGCACACTGTGACCAGAGAAAATTCTGAAAAAGGAAACAGATTTCTGCAAAAGCGGACCAATTGTCCAAGGCCAGGCTGCAGGCACCGATCCCCACGCAGAGCCTGGGCCACTGCTGGGAGCAGTCACGCATGTTACCTCAGCAGCCCAGGCCACGCCGAGCCCTGCCAACTACCTTCAGCTACCAGGGCCAAGTCGCTTCACCAAGCAGCATTCTCATGTCCCCATCCCTTCTCGACATTGGGAGTGCGGAGTTCAACTCCCAGTACTCAGTGAGAAAGGTCAAGGAAACTCAAAAGAACAACCCCATCCCTTTGGCTAAGGGCGATGACCACAGCATCAGAACCATTTCTGGACTCTGATGAAGCAGTTGTGTGTGGTTCTGTAGCTTTGTAGAACTGTCTTTCCTCTTAGTGCGTCCCACAGGCACCCCTAAGATCTGTCCTCAACAGCCTGGGCAAACTCCACAGAGCCAAGTCATAGGTGCATTACTAGGTATGTGCAAGACCTGATTGTTGGCTAGGGTTGTGGTTGTATTTCAGAATATTTTTATTATGGCACTGGGGATGGAACCCAGGGCCTTGAACCTTTCAGGCAGGTGCTCTATCACTTAGCCACACCCCCAGACTTCTCTTGCTTCTTTCTTCTGAGAAGATCAGGAGTTAAAGTTCCTGCTACAGATGAGTCACATTCAAGTGATACAATGTTTCAGCAATGTAGGACTGTGAGATCCCAGGACACTGCATTCTCCAGGACCTTGCCTCCATCCTTGACATTAAAGATTGCTTAGAGGAAATACTAGATGGCTGTCCTTGGCTCTGTCTCTCACTGGCTGTGTGAGCATGAAGAGGACCAAGTTGCCCTGTTTCCCAGTTTTCTCACAGGCAAATGTAACAGCAATAGCTGAAGCTATGAAGTTGTTAGAGGAACCAAATGAAGTCATACCCATGCGAACACTCTGGACAGCACGAAGCCATACAAAGGCCGAGTGATGGGGTGATACTGCAGAATAGGTGATATGTTTGTTCTTTTGAGGGTTGAATATCTCTTCTGGAAAGAGATCTCAGGCTGCAGGCTGGTGGTTGCTGCAGGAAGGGTAAAGAAGTTCCTCATGTGCCTTTAACATGATCTCTCAAACTTGATTCTTGCTAAAGCCACAGAATTTGAGCCTTCTAAAGTCATGTTTGAAATTTTAAATTGTCTATTTTTTTATTTTCTGAGATTAATAAAATTATGTTATTTTCTCCCTTCCTCACTCCAATCCCTCCCTTGCTGTCTCACAAATTCATAGCCTCCTTTTCTTTAGTTGTTGTTGGTGTGTGTGTGTGTGTGTGTGTGTGTGTGTGTGTGTGTGTGTGTTCTTAAATGTATAATACAACCTGCTAGGTCCATATAATGTTACTTGTATGTCTACGTTTTCAGGACTGACCGTTCGGTACTGGGTAACCGATTGGTGTGCTCTACCCTGGGGAAGATGATTTCTCCCGTTCTCAGCATCCCTGTAGTTCATTGCGTAGGGTTGAGACCTGTGAGCATCCCTCTTCCACGTGAGTGTGTCTATTGATGGTGTCCTTGCTCAGCTCACATTTAGGCAGCCATGTTAGTGAGATCTCATGGTGTAGGAGAGAAGAGGGATATGAACATGAAAGTCTTCTCCAAGCACAGTCTTGTGGTGTAGCTTCTCTGACATTTCTAAGAAACCCAATCTCACAGCAAACTCCCTGTTCCTCTGGCTTTGCGATCTTTCCGCCCCTCCTCTGAGCTGATCCCTCAGTCTTAGGCACAGGGGATAGGACTGAGTTCTACAACTGCATTTTGAGGGCTTGTGGCTTCCTATAAAGTCTTCATCTGTTGTAAAAAGAAGGTTCCTTCATGAAAGATGTCATGTGGAGTATTAATCCCCAACATTACATATGATGGAGGTTGGGTCTTTGCAAGGTCATGAGGGTGGGGCCCTATGATGGCAATGTGGCTTTGTAAGAGATAAAAGGAACATATATCCAAGTCAACAAGCTTATCCTGTCTTAACCTTGTAGTGAGAGAAGAAGGCCCATGAACAAGAAAGCCTTCCCAAAGCACAGCCTTATCATTCTTTATAAGTCATCCAACCTGTTATTCAGTGATAACATTTCCTAAGAAAATGAGCAGAAATTGTTCATTGCTACCTTACAAAGAAGGGAAAAGGGAAAGAGCCCAGTCAGGGCCAGGAGGCCACATTCTGGTCCAGGTTTCCAAGAAGTATGTCTCATTACCCCCACCCTCTGCAAGCTCTTCCTTGAGCAAGGGCTCCTCATCACTGAAGTGGTCATGATAAGCTCATGTGTGTTCATTTGGTCACACCTGTTGACAGAGGCCCTTTCTGCCATCTGCCCTGCTGGGCCATGGTGGAAATGTCACCATTGAGAAAGGGAGTAGGATATGCTCCGGATGAAACTCGTCAGGTCTTTTAAACTAGAAGTGGCAACTACTGTTTCATGTAACACCCATGAGTGGAATCACTCAGATAATACATTTATGGACATCACAACCCCACAGAGACAGACAGATCTAGGTGGCATAGAGAGACCAACAGGTTCCCAGAGCTCTAGCGACACTGTTTCCAGGGATGTTATTTACTTCATTTTGCTTTTTATTTTATCAGTGTCTGCTCGTCAGTG